TATATATATTATATACAGGGTGTCCCAAAACTCCCACATTTGGAGTATACTACGCGATTCTTACATTTGTCGATGGCCAAGTTAATACATGAATTTTTTTGACAGCTATCACATAGTACAATATGTTGTTATTGAATAGATATTTTGCAACGTTATGTTGCGATATTAATTGTGTAATTTATTTATAGGTTTATAAGTTCCGAAACAGAAATAATTTTTTAATAAAAATGTCATTGTATATTCTGTGGTATTTTCGATATTGTAAGAGGATCTTCATGATGGAATCTTTACTACTTGTCACCATGTCTGGCCTACATTCAGAAACATTACCTAAGTGATTCCATGTATCATCTTATCTTATTATTCCTCGAATGTTAAATAAAGATAAAATGATACACAAGAGCATTTGATAATGTTTCCTGCGAAGTGCGCGAAATATCAACTCTGTGATTAGCGAACTTTAATCGCCAATAATTTAAGAGTTATTATAGCCTCGACATTTTCATATTAGCATTTTCATTTTAGAATGTTCCAAAAAATTTGCTCGTAAAAGGAAATGCGGTAGTTTTGAGATATCCTGTATATAGATATATATATATATATATATAAAAGATTTAAAATATCTATATATAGCATATTGATTTAATTGTCCATATTAATTAAATACTTTATTTTAAATAATTTAACATTTATTTTACAGTTTTTAACTACATTTCAATATTTATTTAATTTTCATATGTTTAATACTCGGTTGTCTTTCTGCAGTCATATTGAATTGTGATGTCAGAGACGAGAAATGACATGTAAAAAGTTTCTTGCATCGTATAATTTTATCTTATACTTTTCTCTTAAAAACGATATTTTTATCTTGTACTTTTCTCTTCAAAATGATATTTTTGTATTCTTAAAACTTGTAAAAAATACCAGAAAATAAAAAATATCTGTCCAATAAATCACGTAAAAGTGTAAAATAATTTTTAAATAATGGTCACTGTTCAGCTATCAGAAACCACTGATCTGATGAATTCTGATAGCTGAGCAGTGATCATTATTTCCAGAATTATTTTACATTTCTACGTGATTTTACACTTTCTATGTGATTTATTGGACAGATCTTATTCCTGATTATTTTTTACAAGTTTTTAGAATACGAAAATATCATGTTTTAAGGAAAAA